AAGACTAAAGCATAACTGGCTTTTGCACAGTCAGGAATAGCAACAAACCAATGAAGAGGAAGACTGGAAGTCATCATGTCCGTCCCAGCCAACACGCTTGTGGCTTATCAGAGGGCCTGGTGTCAGAACAAGCTGCTCCCCGAGAAGGGGCAAAGCCTCATGCTCCCATTCCAGGGTCACCACACCTGCTCCTCTACCCTGGGAACATCACACTGCAAAATTCTTTCCACAAGGAGAATTTAGGTTGTTTCTATTCTTCATCAAGCCTCCAGACAGAAGACTGCATGGGTAATGCCTGCTTCCTGTGCATTAGCATTCCTTGTACAGCATCGTCTAAGAATAACAACTAAAAGCCTATGACCCTTCTCATAGCCTTGCTTTCAATTTCAAATCAGTTGTACTTTTCTCTAATTCGTTAGCGAAAAGTGGTTATCAACATATGAGACTCAGTTTACCTTACAGCTTTTTATAATTAAATGAACCTTTCGATTCAATGAATATTTGTATTTTTCAGTGTTCTCTGAGTTCTAGTGCTGCTAATGAGCATAAGCAGCTGGAAAGTTGGATGTTTCCAGCTTTACTTTTTATGAATATTGGCAAGCGGAAAATAGGTTTTCAGGAAACACACTTTTTATCCTAATTTTTTTCTTTTAAATCACATGAATTTATGCACACCCACAAAGTAGAAGGAAAATGTGTCAGTGTTTTAGCTTTCATAGTAGAAGAGGGAGGGAAGTAACAGTAAGAATAATATTGGTTTTCATCCTTCATTCAAATAATTAATAATGTGTCTTTCTAACATACAAAGCAGGAAATAAGGAGTGAAAGTTAAAAAAAAAAGCAAATATTCACATAATTTCTTCCTGTAACCTTCAAGAGCACGAAAATATTTTCTTTTAATATATGATTACTTAGCTTAATTACATCCAGTGACATTAGAAGTCTTTACAACACATTAAATGTTGTTGGTTTAGAAGGAAAATGCTGCATTTTGCTTATCAAGATCAGGGGAACACTAGTATAAAAACATTTGTTTTACAAAAGCAAATCACAAAGGTATTAAATTTGGAAGGAACTAAAACAAAGATTAAGTATATTTTTCATTGGATCATTAGTATTTTAGAAGCCAGGCAAGAAGGACTAGTCCCTGCCAGGTAGATATAAAGAAAAATCAGACATCCAGCATGCAGTTCAATGCGTGTTTTAAATAACCAGTAATATTAACTTAGGCCTCTTCATTGGAAACAAATCTGAATATTATCCATAAAATTCCACTGCATTTTAACAGCAATGGAGAGCTGCGGTCTCAGTTTCAGAATATCAGCTTTTCAGCAGAAAGAGGATAATCCCAAGCCATCTTTTTTCCAGACTTGTTTCTTTCTTTTTGAAGGCTGCACATTATTTGTCTCTGTATAATTCTTTCTTCTCCAAGCTGACATTCCTGCCTTTTTGGTGGACTTCTGGGATGGTAACTAGAATGGGGAAAACTACTGCATTTAAGAAGAAAATGCTCGTTTGGTTTTAACAGGTGGCCTCTTTTCAAAAATCAGTTGGGATATAAAATTAGTCCATCAAACAAGTGAATAATTTTACAACTATCTGTAGCAGGCTACACAGCACTTGTAAGGTCTGTTTGAAGGAGCAGTTTGTTTCATTGGATCAATTACTACTGGGGAATATACATTAGTGCTCAGAAGCTATGGATCATTTCTTATCAACTAATAGGAAGCTACTTTTCCTTACACACCTTTGCCTGACTTGTGTCCTTAAACCACGGCCACAGAAAAACCCTATCACCTTCTGCAGCGTTTACTACTTTTGGTTTTCAGAGTTGTATTCTGCTGACATGTCTGGCTGAGTGGAGTGGCCTGTTCAGATAGATGTCTTTCTGCATCATCGAGGTTTTGCAATATCAAAGACTGGAAATAATGTAAGTGCTATCTGCGGTAATCCATACTCTTCTGCCTCTGTATACAAGGCTTGTCTTGGGTTGCTGTTGTGATTCATCCCCCTGTGCTTCTCCCATTCTAAATCCAGTGTATCTATGTGGCACTACAAGAAACAGCACCTAAAAGACATGCCAATATGTTCATCTGTGAGATGCACATCGTGCCTCTCAGTCCACCAGTATCTGCTCTACATCCAGATAGTCCTAAGGCAAGGCTCTTATTGATGTGCTTGTTTGAAAGAACGTGAAAACTACAGAAAACTCCTTGAAATTCAAAGATTCAAATTATCTCCTGGTCAAACATCTATATTGTATCTATATCGTTTATATTATATGTCAAAATGTTACTAGCAATGTAAGTCAGTGCTGCTATTCTGCATCCAAAATTCACATTCTCAACAGTTTTCACCATTAAAGAAGCTGGTCCTAAGTATAAAAAGGCAATTGACATTTACAGAGAGACTTCTATCAGTTTCTATGCTTTTTGAATCAGCCCTGTTAACTTGGGATTTCCATGGGCTACAACTTGTTTCTGTAACATCTTTGCCATCATTGGTGTGGTTTTGTTCTTATTTTTCAGAACAAAAGCAAAACTGTCTATATTTGTTTCATTACAGTTGAGAATAAATCAAATGGAAATAATGGCTTTAGTTCTGTGGGAAAATACATACTGAATGACCGTTTAGTCATGTATGCTATATACATAAATATGGCTCTTAGCAATAGAAACAACAAGACTTTAAGCAAAATAAACAGAGCCTCTTTCTTTTTATTCCTGGTTTATTTCTTCAATATTTTTTTATAATGTTGAGATTAATAACTGAAAATTCATTTCACAAACATTTAATTTGTGCCATAAGCTGGTAGTAGATCTGTACTCAACCCAGCCCCAGACTGTACCCCTCTCTGCTTGTAAATATCTCAGCAATATGGGATAAGGATAACACATTAGCCAAAAATCTCCTCTTCCTGACACCTCGAGAAAGATGTTAGTTGTGTTACAAATTACCATTCTACTAAATCATGTTACAGTTATTTCAGCAATAAATTACACAATGTGAAAACTATTAAACTCCAAATGATTGCAAAGATGTATTATTTAAAGGAAAAGCAAACCTGATAGGTGAAATCTAAGAATGAAGTTCAAAATTCAAGGTCTATTTTTTACTGTCAAATTATTAAACATTCCTTTAAAAATGCTCTTTCTGTGTGCTTATTGTTGGGGAATGGGTTTTAAAATAGCATGTGCTGCTTTTGGCCACCTACTATGAGTATGAGCACACATATTCTTATTTATGTATTTCAGACAATCTCTCAGAGAAAGAATTTATTGTATATATGGTCCAAATCAAGAAAACATTAATGTTTACTATCTTTAAAAACAAAATCTGTACCTAAAGGCTGCAGCTGGCTCTTACCTACGTAGTAAACTGAACTTCTGAACTGACCAGATCAAAACTTAGAGGTGATTGCAATCAAGACTAACACTCTGCAGTTTGAGCAAAATACCACTATAAATACAGAGCTTCTGTATTTTTTTAATGTTTGGGAGACTCCTCTGCTTCTCACTTGAAGCAAGAAGTAGTTTTCCAGGTGTTTGACAAGTAACTGTCAAAATAGCTGTCCAAATCATCTGTTTAATTTGATCACTATTTAGTCACGTAAAACATAAACCCAGGTATTCCAAGGGAAAGAAGTGGCAAGTGGTTTTCATGGCAACATCTGGCATTTACTTGCTATTAGCAGAGGATTCCTTGTAGGTTAAGTATAACCAAATAAACCTAATAATTGGTACCAAACTAGACCGAGCTGCAATATTAGGCTACAGAGTTTGAGAAACAAGTTATTTCCACCTCCTTTGGCAGAATCCATCTGCTGCTTCTAAAGTGAAGGAAATCTACAACTTACTTACCCAGAAATCGGGCTGAAATTGGGGTAGATCACTCCTTCCAATGGAAAAACTTGCAGAAAGACACAAGATAGAGGGGGAAGAAAATCCTTTCCACTAGTTGGTTCAGCAAGGGGTGGGAGCAGAGGGCTGTCCCGGGGCGGAAGCGCAGCCCAGGTGCCCCTGTGGGAGCAGGAGCAGGGCAGCTCGAGCTGCCCGCCCGCCCTTTG